AGGGTGCGGAGGGCCCTCGGGGCCGGACCGCGCTGTGGGGAGCGGGGGGCCGGTGCCGCCCTGCAGCCGGGGCCTGAAACGTCCCCGCGACATGGCCGAGGCCGAGCGTGTGCGCCCCGGGGCTCTCCCTTCAGCCCTCAGGGCTTCCCTGAGGAGAGGCTGAGACGGGCGGGCGTGTTACATTGTATGGGTTGTGGTATTTAGGACCGCTTCATATCGTGGGGGATATGTTTCCCCCACTGTTGAAAGAATGAAACTAAATGTGAAGTTTCAAACTGGAAAAAAAGCCATTCTTCAGTTCTAAATGCCATTTTGAAGTGATCAACTTTGGTAAACTTTAGTAAACTGAATGCCTATTATAAGCTGTTGAGGTAGTGATTAGCTTATTTATTTTAAAATCTTGGATCTTTGCAAGATCTGTAAGTTGTCTTATGGCATCTTACAAAATTACAGTGGCAGGCATTAGAGTTCATACGTTTCTAGTTCCTTTTATATAAGAAACAACTGGGCATTCTACGTTGTAAAGTTTGCTGGAGTACAATGCAGAGTTGACAGGGAACTATTTCCCTTTTAAAAAGGGTCTAGATTTATCTGTTTCTCAGACATGTTTAACTGCATATTGGTTACAGAGCAAAGTAGAGGGAGTTACTGAACATCTGCTGGTTGAGGTCACACTGAGGGGCAAGAAGATACTAATTTCTAATAATGCCGAGTCACTGCCAAATTAATGAATTTGGAGAATGAAAGGAAGTTCTTGGGGAACTTGCCTCTTCTTTTTTTTTTTCTCCACTCAATGAATACTCAGTTGTGTGTTCAGAAGAGTTTCAGCTAGCTGTTCTTTTATGCTTGTGTCTGCCTCAGGTTTTTTTTATAGTTTTACAGAGCTGTTAGAAAACTCTACTCAGGTTTCAGCAAAGCCTCCCCCCACCCTGCTACAGAACTTCTTCGTTAAATCAAGAGTGGCACAAGAGCAGGAAGCATGCTGTGTTGTTTTTCCTTTGTAATGTTTACAGCACTATTCAATATAGTTGGTTCTACACTGTTAAGGTGCTCTTTACTGTTTAATTCAGATAACAATGGTAAAATATTACAGCAGTCTTTAATGGAGAGTACTGTTATTAATTACTATCCTATGGAACACTCTCCTGTAATTTAGTATAGTTTTTCTTTCACTCTCCCTTTTTTTGTCTAAGCCCTTCATCTGGGTTAGTCCTGGCAGCGTAGTAGTTTGAGCTGGTTTTGAAACAGCTTTTTAAGTTCACAGTTCGATGAACTGTACTGTGATCTGCAGCCATTACAGTATGTTGCTGGAACTTTAGAAGAAGAAAATTTCAGTTGTGTGTTTCTCTGAACCAACAACTGTTCTAATAGAAGGTGGTTGATAAGTACAACAGGATTCGTTCACTGTTAACATTAATGCATTGTGTTGAATATCTCATTACCTTGTGGTGTTCAGTAGCTTTGTAAGTGACTCCTTCAGTGTTAGTTTTCTCTGAACTTTTGCTTGTTGTCTCCTGTATGGCAGGAAAAGACAGAATTATATTTGCGACCAAGGAGGACCATGAGACACCAAGCAGTGCTGAGCTGGTTGCAGATGACCCGGATGACCCTTATGAAGAGCAAGGTCAGTAATAAGCAGAAAAACAGAAGTTAGGACTGATACATCACTTGTATCATGTTCTAACAGTCTTAAAAAGCAAGAACAACAAAAACCAAACCTTGTATGAAGTAGGAACAAATTAGTTATTCTTAAAGATGGAGGTTATTCAGTAGATAAACACTCAAACTCTTAGCAGTTTTAACTTGCAAATTAGGACATCACAAATGATATGCTTTCCTTACAGTGGTTTGTGGGTTTTTTTTTTCCTACAATTTTAATGATTTTTCAAAGTGGCCTGTTCAAATACATCAGTTGATGGCTTATAGTTTTGGTTAGTAGCCAGAGATACCCAGAAAAAATGTTTTTCCTTCCTCTTATTAGCAAATTTAGAGCTTAACCAGTGAAAATTATGGTTGTTCTTTCACTGTTTTAAATGAAGTGCAAAGTTCAGGGAAGCTGAAGTGAGTTACATACCAGTCATTGATGTGAGTTGCTAACCTGCATGTGTGCAGCTGAAATGCTTAATTTGGTGATCTCTGAATATCCAATTTAATATAAATTATATCTGACTACTCCTGTACTATACTAGTAGCAATATAATCAATAACTAGTAGTAACATTCTTCAATGGCACATGACAGGTAAGTTCAAATTACTCGGTTTTCAACTGTAACCATCTTGCCTTGAAAAGATGTAAGGTAAAGTTTTCAGTGAAGATTACAGTTCTTACATGAAGTAGATCTAACCTGCAAATGGAAATTTAAGAGAGCAGAATATTTCTGAGGTCAACACTTGCAATATTCTGGTTGCACAGAGCATATTTTAGGTTGTTTCTAATGGGTAAATGAAATAATCTTCCTATCATGATGATTAAATAAATTTTGCTGTAGGTTAATAAATTGCCATGAATAGCTGTGAATTTGAGTTAGGTTTTTTTTTGCTAATTGCCTTTATGCTTATACATCTTTTAGCCTCTTCACTTTGTGTAAAGTGATCTCATTGCTTTCAGTACAGCTGAGATTGAAGTAAGTGCTTCACCCTATTTGAAATTCTGTTGGAAGTTAAGCAAGTGGCTTTGTGACCTTTAGAGGGCAGTATTTAGGCAGAGTTTAGCAGCTGGTGCACTCGGGGCGGCTTTGTTAGCTGATGCGGTATGTAGTTTAATTTGAACCATCTCTTTTTATGTCATTAAAATATCTTTTTCATACATAGATTTGTGTTGAAATGATTTTGTATTTAGCTGCCTATCTTGACTTCATTACAACTCTATGTAGTCAGTAGATATATCTAAATGTTTTGCTTGTCAGCAGTGATGAGTCTGTTCAGTTTTATAATCGCCCAAATGAGAACAATGACATAATTTCAGTTTCAGAAAGGTGTTTAAAAACTTCAGTTTAGTATCTGTCAGGAATTACTCTACCTCCTATTTTCAAGTAGCTTGTTTTGCTGGCTAAGACCCAATGCCCAAACTGTCTATTCAACGGAAACAGTCTATGCTTTGAGATTTGTTGTCATTTTCACTATGAGAATGGTGCTTCAGCACTTGAGAATTTCAAATAAAGGCAATAAAATCTGTGACACTTATATCTGTTACTGCTTTGACCAGGATCAAAGATGGAAACTCGAAATGATTCATGTAAAGTAGTTCATCCTTAGATGGAAAACAGTGTCTGAGGAGAGCTCATTTTTAAGAGTATTTACTTCTGTCAGTATGCTATGTGGAAGTGAAACAAAAGCAGAGTTTTTAACTCCTGTCTCAGGAAAATTTACAATTAATTATTGGTCTGTTAAGTGAAGAGTTAACAGCCTCTAATGATCAGATGGTGGAATTAAGATCCACATTCCTTTTCTGTGGCCTGTGGCTTTCTGTTTCCTCTGAAAAACTGGAGACTGCTTGCAAAATAAAGCAAAGAAAGATACTTTTTCCAGATACCACATCTGGAGAACATACAAACCCTTGGAGATCTTGTCATTCACTGAACTGTTAAGTCACCTTCTGTGGTATACAGCTAAACCTAGTGGCTTGCTGTTTAGCTATGTAAAATAATGTATGCAATCTGTATTAATGTTATGTGTAGTTTAAAGTTCACCTGTCTTCCCCCTTATAATTGTTCATAGTCTCTGATAATTAAATATTAGTAAAAGGTGTCTGTATAGCAACAACATGTGGATGCATATTGGTCCTATAACAAAGCATCTATTTTTGACACTGGCTTTGAAGAGGAAAGGGATCTAGCATAATAGACGTACTACAACGGCTTGGAATGTCAGCATAGAAAATTGTCTTCCTTCTATCTCACACCCCCCCTCTGCCCCAAATCATTATTTTTCTGGTTGTGCATATACCACAAGTCTTGTGCCATTTATTTGGGTAATAAACTAACCAAAATTGAGACACTTCCTCCTTGTTTAAATGCTGTATTCATTGATTATTCTTATGTGTATTTTGCTGGATATGGAAAGGCCATGGTGAGGAGTAGAGGTGGTGCATTTGTTTTTTTTCTAGCAATCCTGTATCTACAGCATGTTAGATCACTTGCTTCCAAAACTGTAGAGAGGGAAGAAAGCAGGAAGCTAGAAGCTAGTTATGTCAGGGACACCTTACAGTGAAAATGTGTGTCTATGTGATTCAAAATGAGAAACTGTGTAAACTCTGTTTAAATACTGTTAATGAGTTCGGGTTGGGTTTTTTTGGGGGGGTGGGGGTGGTGTTGGGGTTGTTTTTTATTGTTTGTTTGTTTTTTCTTATCATGTGGTAAGTTACTGCCATGTTTTAAGGGTTCTCTGAAAAATCGCTTGAACAATCTCAGGCTATGATGCATCAGATCAAAACAGAGAAACATTTGACATATCACAGAATGTAGCGGCATCTAGTGGGAGTGAAATTTGTGGGCAGGAAGACATATGGCCAAAACGTTTTGGAATATGTTAAAGTGCAGAAGCTCTGGCTCGTGTGGTTTTTATTTAAAAGAAAATTGGAAAGCGCTTTGCTGTACATAAAGTAACATGCAGGCTTTTCTAATTTAGCTTCTGCTTTGAATAGAAGACTTGGTTTCCAGTGTTCAGCTTCTGTGGCATAATTCACTATAATGACTCTTAATCTTTTCTGCTGGGCTATACACAGAACTGTCATATCTGGGAAAAAATAGATTTATTATAGATATAATCTGTATTGTTTTCTAATACAGCTGAAACTTTTATTTGAGATTTTGGTTTTTTTTTTGTAGGTGCCTTTTTCATACTTAAGATAAACATGTAGCTTAGTATTTGTGGTTAGTTCTTATTTTGTTTCAGGCGTTAGCAGTCATTAGCCTTTGGGCAGTCTACTTTAGTCAGTAGATCAATTTGGAAGACCCATGCTCTGTTTCCCTCAGGAGAAAATAAAGTTGTATAGTATTCTATTTTTATTTTGGTCAGTTATAAGATTATTTATTTTGTTCTATTAGTTATGAGACTTCGGTAGGCAAAATGTTAATGGGTCACTTTAAGCCAAAAACAGTGAAAGAAATGAAGCCATGTGAAATGGGAGGGCAGACAAACCAGGGTAGGTTCAAGTTAGCGTTTCATATTGCAGTGTATCTCAAGGTTCGCTGTGTGTGCCTTTTAACAACTGTGGCTGATGGAAACCAGTGAGGAATTCATTTGCAGCAGTTTTGAAATAGCATTCTCACTGTGAAGCTTGTTTCTGGTCTTGTGTGTTGCAGATGAAAGAATTTAAATGTGAAAGATACCTAGTTTTCATTGAGATCTTATTTTTCTAATTTCATTAGGCTTACACGAAGAAGGTATTGGTGAGTTTTGTGCATGAAAAGTAATTTTTATTAGCATTACAGCTGTGATAGAGTTGGCTAAAAGTGCTTTTGGAATTGCACCTCAAACACAGGTGGTTGCTGTCCTCTCCCTTCTCTGTTTCTCCAGACTTGTTCCAGTCATCTTATTTTAGAGACAGTTTTGAAATGGTTTCCACCAAGGACTGATGAAGCAAAAACCCTAATTATTTTAAGAAAGAACTTGAGCAATGATCAGATGTACAGGACTGCTTTTATGACTGATGATGTTCCTGTCAATCCTGTTTTCTATGTGTCTATCATCTTACATTGCGAATCATTGGCAGATAAACTTTTTAGTGGAATGTTTGCTGATATATCAGGGAAGAAACTTTTCTCAGAACAACAGTGGGACTTCATTACAGCGAGTACAAAGACAAGTCTTTACACAAATGCAGATGGGCCTGCCTTCATCCATGATATTAACAAATCCCATGAGCTAAGAGATTAGGTTGCGTGATGTCAGCGGTTAACTGCTAACACAAGCCTTGATCTGCTATGATGTAAACAAGGTTGTTTTTTCTTCCTCAAGCACAGGCTCAAGTAGAGACCCACTAGATCAGTGACATTCAGGCTGTATTTGAAAGAAGCTTTAATTCAATTTTAATTAAAAATAGTAATCCTGTCTAGTGCAGGCTTGCAATTTAGGGAGAGTGATAGATAAAATCTGTTTCTGTTTTAATTGTGTTCTAAGCCAGCTGATACACTTAATCATTGAAGTGTGTATTCTGCTGTAATTATCAGTGAGGAAATGCTTGCCTTCTGTTTTTTAAAGTGTTTTTTTTTTCTTTTAAAGCATGGTTTCTGTGCAAATAACATCTGAAACTGATGATATTTCAGTGATCAAATAGTTGCAAATCAATCCTCATGGGATGTACAAGAATGTACTGCTTATGGGATAACTCTTACATTGTTGTTACAATTTGCATACTTGCAAGGCAGTTCCGGTTCTATAAGGAACAATTTGAGAGAATTATGTTACAAATAACTTTATTGCTGTGATGTCTTCAGGAACATTTCAGAACTCTTCATGTATTTTTTTCTTTTTGAAGTATTAGAAAAATGACTGTTTAAAATGACTGGTTGATGTTAGTGAGGAGGAATATAGGACTTCGTAATCTAGTTTACAGAGCAAGCCATATTTCTTCTACACTGTATGATCAACATCTTTCTGCTTTGTTATTCTTGGCAATAAGGAATTAGACACCAGCCATCCATCTCCTTGTCACAGAAGTTCTGCTTTTCCTCCAGGCAGCTAGAGATGCCATGATGTGCTGTACTAGATATATCTTCTCAGTGCAGTGATTATTACAGATATTGTACAAAACTGTCTTGCTGAATAAAGCGTGACCTATGAAAAATGACAGTATTACTTCAGTTGATTAAATCGTGCTAAAGAGACTTACTTTCTCTAATGAAAAGGAGGCTGATCAACACTGAGACTTAACTTACTTTCTTCTGAACTGCATTGGCTGAGTAAGAGCACATTGTTGATGAATTGCAAATCAGTGTAAAATTTTCCTTTCGTTCCTTTTAATATAGCAATAAATATGATGGAGCTGATTTTGCTGTACCAGTATGTAAGATTCATGATATCATGGCCTAGTGTCCAAAGAGTTGTGAGTGGGAGCGAAATGTACATCTGGAACTTCATGATCCCATAGGACAAAGACAATAATAAATAGGCTTACTGAACTCTGTGGGAGTATTTTAGTTAACGTCAAGTTGCATCAGGCCCTAAATATAATTTCATGTTTGGGTCAGAATTAATGCAACTCTGTTCTCTTGCTATGGTAGTTTCATACCTGCTTCTAAATGGAAAGTACTTAAACTTCAGGTTTATGCACATGCTGTTACCTTCTGGAAAAACTCAACCTGGAGATGAAGTTAGGGAAGTCTACTAGAGAGGAGGAGAGCAAACTAAAGCGGAAAAGAAACCAGATTGGATCACAGCACAGTATTTCTCTTGTTCTTTGTAGGTGAACATAACTACATGTATGTTCATGGAAAGTAGAGAAAGTGAATGGAGATACATTGCTCTAGAGCAATGTATTGGAGGCTCTAGAAGCCCACGTGAACAAGTCCATTACATTACATTTCTATACCTGACTGTTTAAAAGGTTTTCTAAAACTTAGGGAGGAAGCAAGTTCTCTGGCTTGCTGCTTAAACTTCATAGTGCAAATCAGTTGATGTCTCAAAGAGCATATGCTCATTTAAGTCTGTACCTTGCTGTTCCATCACTGAAGTATTTCTGTGACGACTTTAACTGTTCCAGTTTATTTAGTCTAAAATGAGACCTAACTCACTTTCAGTTGTGATCTAAAGTGCAATTTGATTTCTGGGAACCAGACAGAATGGCATACTCTGACTATTCCTTGTGTTCTGTGGCATGTGACTTAATCTGTGTCTTACAAATAAACTGATTTTCATTTTTGTAATTCTGGTTTTCCAGTTCAAATTTTAAGGGAGAAAGTTGTGGGTTAGTAGTCCGTTTAAAACAAGATGAAAAATGCATCCGTCGAACTTTATTTAATATAATTCTAGTCTTAATACTGGAATTAAATTCTTATGACTTGTATGACATGATTTTAAGGCTTCTCCTGAGAGAAGGCTTGCTTGTCTCCTGACGGAGAGATGTGGACAAGTGGATTGACTTGACTTTGGTCTGTTTTGCAGTTTCCTTAGAATATTCTCAGTGGTCTGTAGTCCAGGGAGAATAACTTAAATCAGGCATGGATATCGAACTATCTCACTTTTGCCCAGTAAAAGATCATACATATCAGAGATGGAAAAAGATAGGCCAGGAAGTGAAAGGCGTTTAGCATGCTTGAAGCTACAGAGCTAATGTGGCATTGTCAGTACTTCAACTTATACCTGCAACCTAGCAGCTTTCACTGAATGAAATCAATTTTTGGAAGGAGTGCTTAACTTTTCTTCTCTCTTATTCGTTCAGGATTGATATTGCCCAATGGAGATATCAATTGGAATTGCCCGTGTCTGGGTGGAATGGCTAGTGGTCCCTGTGGGGAACAGTTCAAGTCAGCCTTTTCTTGTTTCCACTATAGCACAGAAGAAATAAAGGGATCAGACTGTGTGGACCAATTCCGTGCCATGCAGGAATGCATGCAAAAATACCCAGATCTTTACCCTCAAGAGGATGAAAATGAAGAAAAAGAGAAGTCAAGCAAAGATTTGGAAGCTACTCCTATGGAGGCTTCTGCTGCCAAAGAGGAGAAGGGATCTAGCTAATGAAGATGCAAGGAGGCTGTTGTCTCCATTTCTCATTTTCAGAGACATGGACTTTTGCAGTATGTCTGTCTTCTAAGTTGTCAAGAAATGTTTCACCATTGTTCTATACACTGTATCATACTAAATAATTTATTGCCGAAGGACAAATCTCAGTGCTACAGCCTTGCAAATAAATACTGCAAAAAGAATGAGTATGTGTATGTATTGTGTAACCTGCTATCAGACACAGTTAATACTTTAACACCTGTTTTTACCCTCAAGTTCTCTTTGAGTTTTGACTTGAATAATGGGTATGAATATATATAGCTTTCAACAAAAAATTCCACTAGCACACCAGGTCTGTCTTCATTTCAGTATGTTCTGATCAATAGCTGCTCTCTTTTAATGTATTCTGTTCTTTTAATAGAAATTGCGTTAAATGATTGTTTTTCCTTAAAGATTTTTTTTTTCAAGAATGATACAGGACTTTGAAAATGGCCTAAATCTAGAATTTGTAATATAATTTCAAATGTTCTTATTAGATTATGGTTGCATTTTACTACCAGCATCAGGTAAGGACTTCCAGAAAAACATTGACGTGTGCATCTGCTTTGATTTAATTTACTTACTGTGATGGCTTTTGCATTTTTAAAAATGGTGTGTTGTACAACCAATGATAAAGATGGGTGGAAAGAATGTTTGTCACTGGCTTTATTTTTGCTCTGAAACCACAGGTTTTGGATTCCTTTAGTTAGTCTATGCTCCTTCAGTGTCTAGACAGGCTCTTGTAAAATACTTTGAGAATACAATGGAAGTGTTACCTGGTGTAATGATCTCAAAACATACTGTGACTTAAATGCATATTAAAAAGCAAATACTTTTTACCTTCATTGAAAACTCCTGTTTCTGTGTGGTGGTGGTTTTTTTTGTCAACACTGCTTGGATTTGAGATACTCTTCTGTGTTGTAAGCAGACTTTGAATCAATTTGTGGGTTGTGAAGATCATTTGCTCCAGCTTGTCAGATTTTTATTCTTGTCATATTCTTTTCTTGCTGGCCCCAGGCAGGAAGGCATAAAAACGTAAAGCATTTTCATCAGCTGTAGTAGACTGTGAATCATGAACCAGCAATATAGAGTACCTGAACAGCTATTAAAATATTTGAAAATTACTTTAGACGTGCAAATAATTTAATAGTCATTCACTATAGTTTACTACCTGTGGATAAGGGAATGCTACATTGTTTTTCTTTCCTAATGAAATGTAGGCTGTGAGAATTGTATTGGAAAACAAACTGCACCTGTGGCTTCAGAAACTGTTTATCGCGGGGTTGTGGGTCTTTTTTCTCTCCTTATGTGTTGGTTAACTTAACCAAAACATAATGAGTTGTAGTGGCAATAAGTCTAGGAATGTTTAAACACTTGCCTGTCTCTGGGTGTAGAAGTCTTGAGAGCTCAGCAACATTGCTTCCTTATAGACTTTTGGTACATTGTTGTTTGCATAAGTTATTTCAATGTTAGTGATGGTGCCTCTGAATACTTGAGAGGAATTTCTGTTAAATTTTATAGTGTTTGAGCTGTTTGTATTTCAGTACAGCTGTTGGATCCTCAAAAAAAATTGTAGGCAATTAAGTGGCTGACAACTACTCGGTTCTGAGTGCATGGATAGGGGGTACTCTCAGCATCTCTTTGCTTTTAAAAGAAACAAAGTGTGACAGAGCTTCTTACTGTGACTCTTTCAGGTGTAGGAAGACAAATGCCAAATCAGCCTGAGTAAATGGGCACAAAAGCAGCAGTGATAAACCTTGGCACTTAAGCAATTGGACCATGAAAATGAAATCTTAAGTAATCAGATAAACACTGGGCACCAAATAAAAAAAAAAATCGCATGCACCCAAGCTTTTGGTTGTTCAAATGGAAATCCAGTGCATTATTTGTGAAGAAGCAAGAGCTGTTTGTGAAGGGGTGCTCTGTTCTAAGAACGATTTGGCTCCTTTTTTTTTTTTTTTTGCTGTGCTTTTCTTTCCCACGTGTCCTAAATGCTCTACAGGTTTTAAATTTATCCTCTGTAACAGTATTTATAGCATCTGTGTACTAAAACATAAAATGCAAGAATCCTGCTCCTAACAGTAGCTAGGGACCTGAATCTAATACTCACAGAGGAATTTGAAGCATGTAATCCAACATATTTGAAGGTGTGTTTAGGATGGAGTTGCTTTTTTCTGACTCTGCTGTGGCTTGGTAACCTGCTGTGCTAGATCCAGTACAAATACGGAATATGTGTAAGGACCTTACATCAGAAACTGTGAAAAGCACTATGTAATATGTTTGAGGTGTTTTGAGAAAGGAAATCATATCTCTAATCCTAAAGACGTCTTTGGAAATTATCACTTTCTTTTCCTCCTATCCTTGTTAAAAACTAGTGTAACTGTCATCACTTCACTGCATTTGCATTCTGAATACTCTCTTAAAAGTGGAAACGATCTAACTTGGACTAAAAAAAAATCAAGTCTCCTCTCATTCTCCTCAACTACTTTTTTTTTTAACCCTTCACCTTACTTCTGCTCTTGCTGTGAGTGCCAGCCTGTTATATTTTTTACTATCTTTTTTACCGTTAAAAACTTAAAATAGTAATGAAGATGTGCTTGACAAGGAATTAGGGTTATATGTTGAGTCCAGTTCTTCCTGTTTTCTGGTTTAGTTCTTAGAGTACTTTTCCTGCCATGGAATTTGTAGGTTGATGTGTTAAGAGAAGTAAAATGCAGTCAGGCTTCCTTCTGGATTTTAAGTTCAGACAACCATGTAGTATAGCTTGCACTTCAGTGAAATATTGGGAATTAGAAGGTAGATCAACAGTAAATACATATTGCCGCTTGCTTGGACCCATGAAAGTAAAGAAAGAAGCTATTCAGTGTGGACTCTGCAGCTGATTTTGATGCAATTTTAGTGTCAAGTTTTCTTTCTTGACCATTATATATCCCTTGCAGGTATTACAGAATTTACATGGAGATTTCTTTTCCATCTCTAGTAGTAGACTTGTTTTTAACTCTGGATAAATGGGGAAAAAATAAATTGTCTGGAATATCTTTTTTTGCTATGTAAACTAGTACAGTTGTCTACGTATAGATAGTGTAACTCCTTTCTATTATGTTTCCCAGCATTGCTTTGTTGACATGATTTTCTGCTTATAGTTGCATGCTCCCATTTTAAATCTAAAAATCAATTAGTGGTTATTTTAGTACCTAATAAAGATGATAAAATGATCCCTAGCAATATGTGGCAAGCTTGTGAAATAAGCAGATGATAAGAAGTTGCATTTTTATTGTCTGGATGTAAAAACTTAGAGCTACATACTGCTGTCTTGTTCTAATGTGTTTCTTATTTTCTGCATAAATAATGTCTTGATTCTCTGTCTGCTGTCAATGAGCTACTGGTTCTTGGAGGGGGAGTAGTAGATCCAAATGTTTTTGAGAAAGCACTTGCATGGAGTCATTTTGTGATGATTTTATGCATGGTGTATCAGGTGCTTTTATATGTCATGTCAAAAGTAGTCATTGGTGGGGAGAGGGTAAGTTTTCCTTAGGAAATAATTGCTTTTAGTTGATCTCTTTCTCTGTAATACTTCAGATTTCCAGTTTTAATCCTCCTTCTTCAGTTGTTGCACACCCTTGTAATTCTGGAGTTAATACAGTGGTGAAACAAGCCATAGTTTTGAAGGCTGGGTAGGACTGCTACCAACTGGCTGGAACCCCTGCATGATGCAGGCCACAAATTCATACATAACTTGTGATAACTTGCTTGTTAGGATGGGGTTGCTCCTGCAATCTACTTAAACTTGAGTTAGCGGAGCATGTGTCACATCCATTGTGAATAAGGATTGCCTATAAAACTGGCCTCTTATAGGTGATTGTTTTAACATAAAATATATTCTAAACTCATTTTCAGTAGTTAACTATATTTAAAATTAGATAAAATTGCATTTTCAGAATGTGTTTAAAAGTTGCTCATTAAATTTTTTCTGCTGTTCTCTGCAGTACAGCCTATCTGCATTTCAAAGACCTAACTTTAACTTGTGTTTAGTAACTTTCCTAGAGATACGACTTTACTTCAGGTGCAAAAGTGACTTTTTTTTTTCTCCTTCTTCCCTGCACACAACAGTGTCTAGAGGCAGATATTTATCTTGCAGTTCATTCTAAGGATCATTAGATCTGGTGATCTGGCAGGGCTGCATTGGAAACAAGATCTATATCCTATGCAGTTCTTATTGAGAATGTCCTTGTTAAACCTTACAGTGATGTCTCCTGTTCACCTAAGGCACTTATCTGATCACATGTCAATGAATTGCTTTGAGGAAAGTTGGTACCTCAATAGGTAGAACCTACTTTCTTATTCCTAGGGAAGAAAAAAGGGATATTATATGCTTCTTGGACTCTTGTTTTACTTCTCATTAAAATTCTAGCAGTGTTAGTGTGGGATGGTGTAGAGAAGCTTCCAGCAGTTTGTCATTTATTCTTAATCAGCTCTATTCATTGGACATGACTTCATTTTGTTGAACAGCACCAGCCTGTCTGCAGTTGTTTTTCAACTTCTTTTAACCCCTCTGGAGCTGATGTTTTGTTAGTGATATTGAGAACTTGAGAGAAGACCCATCCAATAGAGGAAGAGT